ACCTCCTGTACTTGCGCGACTGTTCCTGACGCCTATTAGCTTTTCAGTGCCGGTCATCCAGGAACAACTCACTGCTGGTTTCTGGATCACTCTCCCTTGTCTCCTCCCCACTGGTCGAAGGCTCAGGCACCTCCTGGTGGCCAACCAGTCTCTCTGTGCCCTTATCAGAGTCAGAACCCTGTCCAGGGTCCTCCACATTCTCCAGAGCCGACTCATAGGGCCCCTTGGTGTCGGAGTCTGGTGGCAGTTCCAATGGCTCCTGCTCAGCCACAACAGTTATCTATCCAGTGTAACTCACTAACACCCAGTGAGTTGATTTTCTATTTGATGAAATCCAATTTGCCCCGTCTCATTCCTCAGGCAGTCCATGTTGCTATCCAATGTGTCTTCCTGCAGGGCAGAACTTCGCTTTCACCAATGGCTGTTATCATCAGCTGGGAATCATGCCAGATTTGTTCCAGGCGCATCATTAATGCCTTGACTTCTGCCTGCAAGCTCTTTCTCATTCACAGTAGCTTGATGAGTACCTTCTGGTCTGGAGGTCCTATCATTGGGCACCATAACTGATTCATTCGAGAGTCTTTCCATAAAATTTTCTTGGCATGGCTTTTTACAGGGTAGGTTGCCAAGTCTTTCTCCAAGCCTCGCAGAGTGGAAATGGAGTTGCAAGAAAAATCCAAAGGCCAAGTCAAAAGACCCAGATGTGCTCAACCAGATGTACCTATGAATTATACAAAAAGAACACGCGGACAAGAACTTTTTACAGTTGACTGTTCCCACTTGCATCTGGGAACAATTATGTTCTCTGAGAGCAATTATGGAGGTCTGACACCTGTGTCATAGTCAACACAGTGTTAGCTGTATAAATTGGGCTCTGTTGCGGCAACAATTCATGTCAGTCAGTACCACAAAATCACATGCTAGTTAATTCCCCCACCCTTGTCTTCATTGTCCTGCTGGACCAGTATACCATATAAGATTGTGTGGGGGTTTTTTTTCTGCTGTGGTTTGCAAATGGGCATGAATAGAAACACTTGTTTTAGGACTGCTTGCTTGTGATGTACTGACATTCCTGATTTGCAAAATAGTCCATTTTGGGGGGAAAATGGACACAACTGGGTTATTATTTCCCATATTTCATTTTTCTACAAAATGTGGTTACATGCCAGAATCACCCTGATACTAAACTCCAGCTCAGAAGAACAGACTCAGCCAGGACATGTCAAGGCTCATTAAAAATAATTTGATTCGAGCCCTGGTTGTTTGCCTTCTGCTTAAGGCTAAATGACAGGTGGAATGACAGCAGCAAAAGAGAAAGGACACAACTTAAGAAGCACTGCAGCTCAGCACTCCAAATTAACTGAAAAGAACAGAAGTACTTGAGAATAAGTGCTGGTGGAGTTGTGGCATCTCCGCTTGCTTGGATTATTTCCCATTAAGGAAGCCCGCTTCAGAACATATTTTGCAACTCAATAGTGAAAAAAAGGAATGGACCAGTTTTCTTAGTGAGCCAAAGGACTCTGAACCAGCAATGATGCTTTACTATTGGATGAAAGTTTCATTTCAGAGACCATTACAGGAATGAGATAAAATCAAGACCTGCACAAGACATATAGAACATCATTGCTGATCATTGCTGAATCATAGGACTGGAAGGGACCTTGGAGGTCTTCTAGTCCAACCCCCTGCCCAAGCCAGGAGATCTTATACCCTAACCCCAGGGATGAAATCCAGCAGGTTCTGACAGGTTCTGGAGAACCAATAGCAGAAATTTTAAGTAGTTCGGAGAAGCGGTAAATGCCACCTCCGGCTGGCCCCAGAGTGGGGTGGGAATGGAGATTTTGCAATATACTTCCCCTGCCACGCCCACCAAGCCACGCCCACCAAGCCAAGCCACACCCACAGAACCAGTAGTAAAAAAACCTGAATTTCACCACTGCCTAACCCTAACCCCAAATAGTTGTCCAGTGTATCTTTGAAAACCTCCAATGATAAAGCACCCACAATTTTGGGAGGCAGGCTATTAAATAGATTAATTTTTCTCAGAAAAATTCTTCTTCCTTAAATATTTACTTCCGTATTTTGCTTTTATTCTGTCTCTTACAGGTATTTCTCAGTTGCAAAATGCTCTTTGTCCCTCAGTAACCAAAAGGAACACAGTCAAACAAACAGAAATATAACAGGTAGTCCTCACTTACCCACAACTTGTTCAGGGATCACTAAAGTTAGGACAACTTTATGACCAATTTACAACGGTTTATGACTTTTGCAGGTTAGCTTAGATCACCATTACAGTTATTTCATGTTGCCTTGGGTCCAATCTGTTGTTTTTTCTTTTCTTTTTCATTTTCCTCCTCTTGCAGAGTTCAGAGATTGAGTAGAAGAGATTAGAAGAGAGTAAGCAGGCATACAATGGGGAATACACATCAAAAGCAATGCCAGCAGCTGTTTGGAAAACAGCCAGTGTGTTTTCCACTGAATGCCCGTTTACTACAGTCTTCTAATCCCTTCATCTCCAACCTTCATCTAAAGCAATGTGCTAGGACAGAGTGGATTATGAAGTTAATGGAACTG